GTGTGATGAACAACCGAATTCAACCCAGCAGTGACCACTATTCTGTCATGTCATCACTCATCTATCTGTCATGATTCTCCTCTGCCCTATTCTGCTAAGTATTTCAGAGTAAGGTGTGGGGATCGCCTAAATATTAGCACGCCTGTAATCCCAGCTACTCAGGAGGCAGAGATCAGGAGGATGGTTGTTCAAAGCCAGGCCAGGCAAATTGCTTGACAGAACCTATCTCAAAAATACTCAACACAGAAAAGGGCTGGCAGAGTGGCTCAAGTGGTAGCAAGCATGAGGTCCTGAGTTCAAACCCAGTACTGACAAAAAAAATTAGAACTCCTTCATAACACCATTAGTGCCCCCAAATGAACAACGTCCTTCTAATGTTGCCTGGCACTGTCTGTACTCACACTTTCCAACTGTTTCCAAAATGTGTGGCTTCACCAGCAAGACCCAGCTCAGCTTCCTAAGCTTGGAGCCTTGTTGGAGTCTCAGGTGGCCCAGGTCCCCACTTCCTCACTTCAAGACCCTGTCTGTCCCCAGCCCTCCAAGAAAAATCCTTGAACCCCTCCCTGAAGCATTCAAGCTCCCTGTGCATCTCCAGAAGCCACGGCTAAATCTCGTGGAGCCTGGCCGTGTCCTGTTATTGCACAGATTCATCCCCTCAGCTAGACGGAGCAGCCTGAGGACAGGGGACAGGGCTCTTTGCCTCCGTGAAAGTGCAGTGCTCAATCTACGAGAATAAATGACTAGATGAAGTTTCTCAGTCTGTCACCATGGGGAGTTTGAGAGATTAAATGTGCTCTCTGGGCGGCTGGGGGCCGTGTAGACAGGGAGCTGTGTAGACAGTTTTTGAACTAAGAGGAGATTCCAGCTACAGAACAGCATGGGGGTTTTGGAAGGGAGTGTGGGCTGTCCCCTTCTCTCCTATCCAAAGCTAGATGCTCACCACAGATAAACCAGAGTCCCCGTCCCTGGGGCGACAGTCCTAGACAAAGAACTTTCAATCCATGGTGTCCGGAAGACCGCCCAGTGCCTGTTTACACAGCCGTTCCTCGTGCTTTTAAGCAAGCGGTCATTCCCGGGGCCAGCACTGGCCTGGAGCAGGACCTCGTCCCCGTGGTCAGTGGGGAAGGCCCGTCCATGTCCGCTGGCTTCTCAGTGTGAATTCTCTTTTGGAGAAACCCATTTCCTGCTTCCCCAGTCCCCACCATCTGTGGGGCTGAGTCCAGGACTGCACCTCAGCCCCGAGGCTGCAGGGTGAGGCTATTTTTGGTAGAGGGTCACCTCCCAGTCACCAGGTCCCCTGGGGGTAGGGGGGCAGGCGTCCTGCGGATTTCCTCGGCTCTGCTATGCAGAAGAGAAGCCCAGATCAGAGACCGTCCTGGTTCCTGGAGGCCAGCAGGAGAGGGAGGCCCAATTAGGATGGATTCCTTGGCAGGAACCCCGGTCTTACTGGAGGCAAAAAGGATGTCATTTATGGGCACACATTTTCCTTTTCAGAGACGGGTTAAAACAGTTTCCCCAGGGGTGAAATTAAGCACGCCGCTCAGTTCTCCGAAGACACCTTCATTGGACGTTTTCACTATGGGACAAAGGCATTGCTTCACTCCCCTTCTCATGCCTTTATCAGATTTCCAGCCAGTTGTGTCTTTGTCACTCACTTCCCTTGGTCTTACTGAGAATTTTCCAAATGGTGCCTGCCCGTTCATGTCCCCTCTGTCTTTATAACCGCCTGTCACATGAAACCAGCTCTACAGACACTATGGGGAGTACCTATTGTGCAAGTTGCCCTTCTCTGACCCCATTTCCACAGCAGACATCACGCTTGTACCTAGAGAGCACTCTGGCTTTAATATTTCCCCGTTTCTCCCCTTGACCTCAGGCCAGGCCACCTTCGCAGCCACTGCCAGGACTCGGGATCCCTGTGAACCCATTTTCAGGAAGACCAGACGGGAGCCTACAGGTGTATGGGGCCGGAGTGAATGTGACATCCAGTGTGTGAAGGTCGCCGCCCTCACTTTCACTCCTTGAGAATGTTTGAAAATCCTTCTTAGATCCATATTTTTGTATACAAGTAAAATGAGTTAAAATGTCTTTGCCTTTTTGTCGTTGTAAGAATTACTTTTGGGGGGTCGTTTGTTTTGGATTCTTGGGAAAACTTCTAGCTCAGAGATGTCAGCATTTTATGATCGTTTTGCCCACCACAGTGATAGGAAGAATTCCTGGAGGCCGTTGCTTTTTTGCTTTTTTCTAGCGATACTGGATTTTGAACTCAGCACCCCTGGCTTGCTAGGTGCGGGCCAGCCCTAGCATAAAAGTGAGACCCTACTGGAAAATTACCTAAAAGCAAAAAGGGCAGGGGGAGTGGTTCAAGAGCTAGAGCGTGTTCTCCCCCAGATGCGGTCCCTGGATTTCATGTTTGTGTATCCAGCTGCCCACTTGAGTTTCTAATACCTGTCTCATCAGGGCGTGCACCGCCTCCAACATTCGGGAGGTGAAGGCGGGAGGATTGCAAATTCAAGGCCACCCTGGGTTACCTAGAGACGGTCTCAAAAACCAAAACGTTTGAAACAAATCCCCTTCCCAAACTTGCTCACCTGGCTGTCTTGCTCATTTCAGGTAAGGATAACTTTTTCCACCTGCTCAGACGCTAAGCCAGGTAGTGACATCTCTCCTACCCCTGCATCCTCACCAAGCCCGTTCACTGTTCCTTCAAGTGGTCTCTGCTGTCCTCAGGGTCTGGGTCACCATCAGCTCTTGCCTGGATTAGGGAAATGGCTTCAGATCCATCTCCTGTCTTTCACCGCCACTCTTTACCATCTGTCCACACCCTTTAGCTAAGAGAGCCTTTACAACACCAGTTTTTCTGCTCAGATCTACTCTTGATATCATCGCTCTTCTCCCTCGGATCCAGACACAACGACCCACACAGTTGCCAGGGCTCACTGGAACCCAGCTCTCTGCCCACTTTCTGTTCTCTGCACTGTCATGCCCTCCACCTCCTTCACTTCACCTTGTCCTCAAGGTCTTCCCGGATCCCCCTGCTTGAAATTATGCACCCAGCTTTATTTTCTGGCCCCTCCCTGATTTGTTTTGCCACACTTGGGTGTTAGCCCCCATCACAGAGTGCAAACTCCACCAACACAGGAATGCAATCCTCCTGTCACTGCTCTTGGAATAGAGTCTGACATGTAGGAGGTGCCCAGTAAATAGTCAACTAAAGCAATGTTTCTGTTTCTAATTATTCCAAGAACTCTAGTAAATGTGATTTTAGGCTGCCTCTGCTCTTTGAAAAAATATCTAATGTCCAAACTTTGATGGACTTGGATCAAAAACGCCAGGGAAAAATCGCATCCACAAGGGGGCGCTAAGAAACCTCTTTGGAACCTCCTGTCAATCACAGTGCAAGATCACTTCATTTTGTTTGAAGCCAAAAGTGACTCCAATGTAAGTACGACACAATCTTAAATTATTCTTATAAAAGTAAATTTTTATGCTCTTGAATTTAAGGTGTGCATGTCATAGACTAGTAACAATTTCAGGACAATAACTTTTAAGTGTGAATACTTCCGAGATCAAGGTGTCATGACACAGAGTTCTTGGGACCCAGGCAGGAGTAATAAACAGACTTTGCTCTGATCTCTGGACCATTTTGACAATTTGATGAGGCCTCCTGGACGGGGGGTGGAGCATAGTGGTGGAGCCATATGCAAGGCCCTGGGTTCAATCCCCAGCACTGGAAAAAAAGGAGGGAATGAATGTGGGTGCCCACTGACTGCAGCTGTCTATATGCTCCACTCTGGAAGTGACTTTTGCACACAGACTCTTTCTAATCACCACATTCTCCTTTGGGAACGGTGCCACTTGCTATCTCCAGTTCACAGCTGAGGAACTTGAGTCTTAGGAAAATTGAGTCAAGGAAGGTCCTTGCAGAAAGGAGGGACAAGCAGGTCAAGCAAACCTTGACCTCCCATCTGTGCTGTCTGCATCATGTTTAACTCTTAGTGCAGAACTCCTTCCCATAATTCCCTTCTCACGTCTTCATGATTAGAGCAGGGCTGAGGCTCCTTCAACAGAAGGCAGTAATGTGAAGGGAGAATTCCCAGTCCTGTTTCAAACTCATTGCTCACAAAGTCGTTATCAAACTACTCCCTTTTTCCTTCTCTCTTTCCTTGACGGGAGGAAGGATGTGCATTTGGACCTCTTTCTGGTTTTCAGAGGTAGAGGTGGAAGGGGGAAGTCCTGGCAGAAAAGCTGGGCTGACCCTGCAGCAGTCACATTGTCAGGTGTGAGGTCCTGTTTTGCGTCCTCACTGTCCCCTTTATTTATTTACTTTTTCAGCACCGGGTTTAAACTCAGGGCTTACACCTTGAGCCACGCTGCCAGCCCTTTGTTTTGTGATGCGTTTTTTTGGGGTAGGGTCTCAAGAGCTATTTGTCTGGGCTGGCTTTGAACTGCCATCCTCCTGATCTCTGCCTCCTGAGTAGCTGGGATTATAGGTGTAAGCCACCGGCACCCAGCTCCACCATCCCTTTTCTGTATAAGTACCGCGCGCTAACCGATTGCGCCACTGGAGCTCCTACCATCCCTTTTCTTAGTCCTCTTTGGGTCCCATAGCAGTGATCACATAACATAGAATATTGAGAGAAAGTGTGTGTGTGTGTGTGTGTGTGTGTGTGTGTGTGTGATAGTCAGGACTTCTTAGTCAGCATGCCAACTCCATACAAGCCTCCTTGGTAGGCATCTCTTTATCCCTCTCTCCATGTTGGATGACATGTGCCAGACTCAGTTCCAGCTCCCTCCCCAATTTCCTTCTTAAAACATGCTCAGAGTACAGTCTTCCGTCTTTCAATCCGGGGGAAAATGACTTATTTTAAAAGAAGTGACAAACACCGCATTCCTTTGGCACAGGATGAAGTCCAGCTTGCCTCTTGAGCCGGTCGTCACTGTCTATTGTTCTCCAAACAGTAAACTGCTATGTCACAGCGAGACTGTGGGCAGCAGTCACACTCCAAGTCATGGCTCCTCGCGAATATGAAGTGAAGAGCTCTGCCCCAGACAGTGGTAGGTAATCTAGAAGAAAGAGGGGACAGCTGGGATGACAGACGGGGGTGTGTGACTGTGTCATCTTGCAGTCTACAGGTCCCATGCGGCCAGGATGGGGCCTTGGAAGTGCAGGAGCTGCCTCAGTGCTCTGCTGATCCCCCTGGCGCTCTGGAGTATGGTTGTGAATGTCTTACTGTACTTCCCAAATGGCCAAGCTTCCCACACCGCCAGCACCCAGCTCAGCGACTACGTGTGGTATTTTGAAGGGATCTGTTTCTCAGGTGTCATGGTAAGTGTCACTTTGGAGACGTGTGGGAGCTGTGACTAAGCACTGCCTTGCACCTAGCTAAAGTAATGAGTCATGGGCCCTTGGGTTTGGGGTTTGGAAGGTGGGTGGGGGTAGTGGGACAGGCAGTCCTTTAGGATTTAGGGTGTAGCTTTATTTTTCAGAAGTACTCGGCAGATAGCTTCAGTGGGGCAGGAAGTGGGTCCTAGTGAGCCTGTGACAATATTGTGTTTGAAAATATCGTGAAGCCGTGCATCGGCTGAGCTAGTTCACCGGCACTGGTGTTGCTCTTTTCAGAACACATTTTCTGTCTGTGGGCAAGAGGAATTTGAGGGAGGGGGTTAGGGCATCATGGAAAAGTCAGACAAAGCTGCCTTCCGATCTCAGCGCTGTCCTTTGTGCCATTCCTCAAAAAAAGTTGAGCCTCAGCGTCCTTATGTTAAAATGTGAATGGTGACATTTACCTCTCAAGGTAACTCTGGAGATTAAATAAAAATCGCATAAAGTGTGCAGGACAGAGACCAACTTGGAGCAAGCAGCTAGTGACGATGGTGACTGCATAGTCACTAAAGAATGCCCCATAGCGCCATTACAGACACCCCCAAGGATGGAGGATGTTTTTGAATATGAAAGCGAATTTACCAGTGGTGAGATGCCAGGAGCGCTTTCCTGATGACTCTGCTCTCTCAAAACAAACACTCTGACCACCGGAGGAAGCACCCCTTTCCTGTCACCTCGTCTCCGTCTCCATAAACAACGCTCTGTGCGCCAGGAAGCAGAGGAAACTCGCCACACTGTGCCTTGGTGGCTTGGTGGCTGCTTACTTGTTATATTTGAACAGCTGTGTTGGAAAGCGGTTTTGATTTCATTCTGCTCTGGCATACTAAATTAGTAAGCGTTAAAACAGCAATGCCCGCTGCTCTCAGAGCTGCCGTGGCCAAGGTACATAACTCACGTTGTTAGTGGGAACACGTGAACGCCAGTGTTCTGAAGAACAGTTTGGCTTGACATGTCAGGATCCCCAGAAATGCATCTGGCCCTTGACTCAGTGGTGCGAGGTCTCAGCAGTCACTCTGAGGAAATAATCCAAAACAAGGACAGAACTGGATGCACAGATGTTTGTGATAGTGTTAATTTACTTTGCTTCTTTTCCCTATCTTTATTCTTTAAGGCCTTGCTTCTAAAGTGTTTCTTTTCTGTTCTTTGAAGTCTCTTTCCTTACACTCGCTCTGGCCCATGTTTTCTCTTAGCTTTTCTTTAGCGTAATCTCTCTTAGAGTCTTTGCCCACAGACTTGCACTGTCCTATGTTCTTCTTTAGCTTTCTCAAAGTCTCGGTGCTCAGACCTGCAAACAACAGCAGCCGTGTCGTGTCTAAAAACTGCATACGCGTAACTCTTAAAGTCTCAGTCCTTAGACACGCACTCCTAACAGGCAGGGAGGTGAGTCCTCAACTCACTTCATGCGGAAGGATGGTCAAGTTCACATGGCTAGAGAATGGCAGAGCTGGGATTTGAACCCAGGTCTGCCTGACCCTGGAGTCTATGGCCAGTGGGTGCCCAGGAGCATGGTGGAGGAGGCCAGCACCCCTGCTCTGACCTGCTCTCTTCTCCCCTCCAGATGCTCGGGGTGGCAGTGGTCCTTCTCGTTCTGGACAATGACAAGTACAGATGTTGCCAGAGTGAAAACTGCAGTGACACCTACACGGTAAGAGTGGTGGCTGTGCGCAGATGGGCAAACGGGCTCCAGACACATGGAGAGCTGTCATAGCCCCGTCACAGCCCTCCAGGACCCCACCGTCAGACGCTGCGGTACTCCAGAGGTCATGGCTCCTCCACCCTCATTGTGCCCCTGCTCCTCCAGCTAGCCAGGGCTTAAAAATCCATGAAATTGGTAAAGAACACTGCTTTGTCCTGACTGAGTTTTTACAAGTCCGCATTTGTCCTGTCAGCTTCTTTGAGGACAGATGTAACACAGTAAGCGTCATTTGTTGCCATGGATGTTGACTGTTGACTGACCCATGAACCAGCCACATAGGGGCTGGGGCTGAAGTGGTAGAGCGCCTGCCTACCTGGTGTGAAGTCCTGAGTTCAAACCCCAGTACCGCCAAATACGTATATATTCAGGACATCACACCAGAGGGCTAACCGTGTTCTGTTCTCCGTCATGGATTCGTTTGTATTTCACACAAAATTAACCTTACAGAACTCGTCCTTTGTGGACAGTGTTAGGATTTGAGCTCTGAGCTTCACGCTGGCTGGACAGACTCTCCTCCCCCAGACCTTTTCGCTTTGGTTAGATTTCAGACAGGGTCTCACATTTATGCCCAGTCGGCAAGCCTCACCTCAGTCTCCCACTTGTGCTTCCCTCGTAGCTGGGATGACAAGCAGGGCCAGCTCACTGACTGAGATGAGGTCTCTCTCACTGACTTTCTGCCCTGTCTGGCCTCTAATTGGCTGATCTCCTGATCTAAGCTCCTGAGTAGCTGGGATTACAGTACCTTGCCCAGCCTTTTGTTTACTCTGACTTCTTTCACTCGTCATGGTGAGTTTCAGGTTCACCCATGTTGGCTGTATGTGAAGTGCATTTTTTAAAAGGTGGGACTTTCGTAAAAATTAAAATAGAACCAAGGAGCGTAGCACTGCCAGGCTCTGAAAGCCCATGCTCGGGTCTAGACCCTCTACCTCCACTGCCATCGCCCTCTTCCTTCTTGTCACCATTTCATTACAGTTTGCAGAGCATTTGACCGTTGTCACATTTACTTGGTGAATTAGGTCACGGCCACTCCTACCTTGTACACAAGGCACCCATGGCTCAAAGAAGACAAGCGACTTTTTAACTAGGTGGCGATTTACACAGGTCTGGTGACATTCTGCGTGTTAGCTCTGCACTGTCATCCCCGGTGCTTGCAAAGCAGGCACTCTACTTCTTGAGCCACACCTCCAGTCCCATCTGGGTGTGTTTTAATCTCCCTAGAATTTAGTGAGTACCTGCGATGCTGCGGCCAACTTTTTTTCCCTGACGCCTTTGGAAATTAAATTAGTTGTTTAATTTAGCACTGTGTCCCTAGCGAAGAAGAATTGAAAACCTAAATTGCGTGTGGGTATGTATGTGTTCTTAACCGATTGACTCAGACAGCCTCCTGTAGCCACTTAGGACACGTGAGGAGAGCTTTCAGAATTGTTTGATGATGCATTAAACTCGGTATACATTTAAGCTAGGACATTCAGAGAAATTCTAGAAAGTGAATGCATATATTGTCGTTAAGTGAATAATGAAAGTCACTGTGTTCAGTTTGCCTCAACTCACTCCTAGCATCTCCAGCACAAATGGCTGCTGGGAACAGTGGGAACGGGTCTTGTCCTCAACACTGCACAAGATGGCTGACATGTGTTTGGGAAGAGGGGAGGATGCCCTGGGTCCCTGTTTGGTTTTTTCAAGTTGGGCGGCCTGGAGGAACAGATGCCTCACTTCCTATGTCCCCAGGCACCAAACCTGTGATGTGACTGAAAGAAGTGAGCCTGGTAGCATTGAGCAGACTGTCCGCTGGGCAGGGGAGGGAGCTGTGACTCAAGTCCAACTGTCACCATGACAAAATCGGGTGGTGATTCTCAGTTTTTAACAGAAAGAAGAAATAAGACTTTTATGTAAAATTTCTCAATTATATGACTTTTTTGGTTTGTTTGTTTTTGGAGGCACTGGGGTTTGAACTCAGGGCCTCACACTTGCTAGTCAGGTGCTCAACCACTTGAGCCACTCCACCAGCTCAATTATAAACTATTGGCAATTAATTCTCATTTCAACCACCAGAGTACATCTCGTGGCTCAGAGCGCCTGCTTAGCAAGCATGAGGCCCTGAGTTCAAATCCCAGTGCAATGCCGCCACCAAAAAAAACCCCCAAAAAACAAAAAACCCTGTTGCAGGCCAAATTCAGGTCTGTATCAACTTGTATCTTCTGCAGCTCCAGAATGAAAATGGAAGTCAACCACCCAAGGCGCCTTCTTGGTCGCTGTGTACCATGGTCTGAATCCGCCTTCCAAAATTCACATTGACCTTTAACCCCCACTGTAGTGGGATCAAGGGTTGTTGGGGACGAGGAGGATGGCTTTCTTCCTGAGCAGGATTAGTGCCCCCTTAAAGGCCCCTCAACTGTGAGGACACAGAAAGTGCCACTTGGTCGTCCCTTCCTTGCTCAAAACCCAGTTTCATGACTTGTTAGAAAAACAGCTTATTCTAGGTCTGGGGCAGTGTAAGTTCAAGGAGGTAGCCAAAGCACGGCGAGATCTGTCAAAGGGATTCACTTGAAGGGGTGTCCCCACCGGCCACACTTGGACCACCTGGCACCAAAAGAGTGATAACAGTTATGAATTACAACACACGGCCTCTGAGGTCAGTAAGTCCACAGTGACATTGAAAGACAGAGCTGGGGGTCCGTGGCGTCCTGTCATGCAGAAAAACAACTTACAAAATGCAGAGTGATGACGGAATTGTAGAGGGGTCCATTGTGCCCCCGCTGGCAGGGACACAGGCCGTCACGCTTTTCCCAAGTCCTCCCTCACCACTTACTTGCTGATTGCAACATGGGAAGAGCCGCTGTACAGCAGAGAGATTTGAGGACGCCCTCACCCCGGAGAGCCAATAGCACCCACGCCTCCCTGGTCACCGTTCACCTGTGTGCGTCACTCACAGTCCCCAATCCAAGGAAACACCGGTGTCCCCTCCACCCGCCTCCCGTAACTGTGAGGTGAATATCAGTTCCCTGTGTTCCTAGATGGGAAGATACTCTCTTCCCAAAAGAAAGCCAGCCCTTGCTAGAAAGTATTGTTTCAGTAAGCAGCTACTGGTGAATGGGTTCAGTGTCCCTTCCCTGAGTTTCTGAAAGAGGTGATCTTACAGATAAGATCAAAATTCCAGGAAAAAAAAGGGGGAAAATAATGAATTGCCTAGTTCCCTCTATCTGATGCAAACAAGAAGTCATTTTAAATGTATTTTGAAGGACTGGGTAGGGTGGCTCATGCCTGTAATCCCAGCTACTTGGGAGGTGGAGATTGGGAGGATCACAGTTCAAGGCCATCCTGGACAAAAAGCATGACATCTTATTTGAAAAATAACTAAAGCAAAAAGAAGTAGAGGTGTGGTTCAGTGCTCGACTAACACCTATTTAGCAAGTGTGAGGTCCTGAGTTCAAACCCCAGTACCACCAAGGAAAAAAATGTGTTTTGAAGATCCGATAGGTTTGGATTAAATCTTTGCATGTTTATGTGGGCATTCGGTACTGCACAGACTGTGGCAGGTGTCACTCAGCCGGGGAAGGGACTGGCTGATAATTTGCCGTCAATACCCCTTGCCTCCTCCTATGGCTCTGACGCTCGCTCCTCTGTGTTTACTTTAGACCTTGCTGTCAATCGTCTTCTCTGCCCTTGGAATTGCTCTCTCTGGGTACTGCCTGGTCATATCTGCCTTGGGTCTCGTCCAGGGCCCATTCTGTCGCACCCATGGCGGCTGGGAATATGCCTTCGAAGATACCGCAGGACGGTAAGCAGCTCGGGATCCCAGAAACACCTGGCCTCGCGCTCAGCCCATTTCCCACGATTGCTCCGGGCTCCACGGCTGCCATAGGACAGAAGCTTCCCACTCTTTTACAGTTTTCTACATGTTTATCTTCTCAGTCTTCCACCGCAATATAGAAGCATGTCATGGAGCCACCCAGACGAAAAGCGCGACTCCCACACAGCTCGGGTTACTGTGGTCTGGTGGCTGTTGGGGCTGGGGCCTGACTGCTAGCAGCTCGGTGTTCTTTGTGGCACATGGGACATATGGTCTGTTATAAGTGAGAAAGGCTCGTGGGGAGGGTCATCGTGCTCTAAGATGGTGCCGCTCCGTACTACGGCAGCAGGGCGACACAGAGACAGAAAGAACCAGGCCGGGGGAGCAGAGAAGTGCAGGTGAGAGCCAGGCAGACGCAGGAGCTTGTGGGAGGAGTGGAGGTACCCGCTCTCAGCAACCAATCCTGGATCTCAGAAAGCCTCCTACTGGCATCGTGTGGCCTTATGGGACCACCAGCATCTGCAGAGACAGCTCAGGAGACTGCAGGGCCCAGAGAGGGACACAAGAAAGGCCACTGATCTGACTGTCTTTGTCCTGGGCTTGGGATTCTAGTGTGATAAAATGAGGGGAGGGTCTTACAATTCCCTGGCGAGCTACATCCTCTCAACTCCCTCTGATCACGGGGGAGGAGGCCGTCAGGCTGGCTTCAGCACACTTTCCAGGTGGGAGTGCTTTAATTCCACTCCTGTGTTCAGCTCCTCTGATTAAAACTGGTCACTGGTCTTCCCACCTCATCATCTCTGTCTTCTTACCAGCTGGGACAATGATGTTCCAAAACACAGGGCCTCACAATGTGGACAAGTGTGGCAGCAGAGCAGAGGTGTCACCTGGGACTTGTGAACAGAAAGGCCAGAGCTCACCCAGAGCCCCTGGGCCAGCCACCCTAAGGTGGGGACCAGCAGCCAGGGTTTTAAGCAGCAGTCCAGAGAATCGTGAGGCTGACCCAAGTTGGAGAACCCTGTCTTAAGGGCTTGGGGACAGAGTGGAAACATTTCTAGAACTTCCTTCGCTATTTTGCTACCCATGTGATTTTATGTATAACACAAGCTCGACTCTCTCCGACCACCCAGGTCAGCTTCCGGACTCCTTAACAAGGGCTCGCCCGCCTCTCTTGACATTGACATGTGATGTATGACACTGTCACATGTCATATGACATGTGACATATGGCAATGACATGGCATGTTGACTTTGACATACACTGCCTTTCAACTGCCATCGACTCTTCTGCGTGTGTCTTGCTTCCTCGGTGGATTGATTTGGCCCGAGGCAGTCGCCACATTTAAAATGAGCTGTCCAGCTCAGTGCCATGCATACCATGTACTCAGCGTATCGGAGGATTTTTTCCAAGCATGAATTCCTATGCCATTTAGCATTTCTCCCTACTGACACAACAGTATCTTCATACTCATCTACTTTTAATACGGCATATTAATTTCCCAGACCCATAAATACCCATGGCTTCCTCCTCGGGTCAAGTGTGCAGGGTGGCCATGGGTCTTGTTGACTGTCCCCCCATCTCTCAGCTTCCTCACAGATTCCAGTGTCTGGGGTGAGTGCCTGGAGCCAGTCCACGTGGTGCCGTGGACCATCATTTCCTTCTCCACCCTCATAGTCCTCAGTGGGCTTCAGGTGATCATCTGCCTCTCCAGAGTGGCCATTCAGTTGTCCAATATACAGTGTGGAACCTACTCGGTCATCGGCCAGGTAACATCCATGGCCCCTCGCCTCCTTTTCCATTCACCCCACCTCTCCCTTCATCCCACCAACACCTCCACTCATCCCACCAACTCCTCCATCACCCCAGCCCCTCCTCAATTCACCCTACTCCCTCCCTTCCCCCTTCCTCTCATCTCTCCCCCCCTCCCTCTTTCCCTCCTCCCTCCCCCTTCCCCCTTGAACCCTGGAGAAGCTCTCTAGAATCCATCACCATTTTTTTTTCATTTACACTGCCCCAATCTTTACTCAAGACTTAAGGTCTCAATTTTTCTGACATTCCACCGTGTCTGCTGACATGTCTGCATGGACTGACTCAGCTCAGTAATTTTACAATCTGCATTTATGTTGCACGATGCAACTGTGTTTTGAATGACTACTTCACCCTGCTGTGTATAGATAACCACACCATGAGAGATTTCACCTTTCGAAAGGATTTCCACGCTCATCAGATAGGGCTGGGCACCCCCTCACAGGGGCATTGGCGAGAGGGGACCATCTTCATCCGTGGAGGCTACTCGCACCGTCCCCACACTGTCCCCGCAGCACCACAAACCTGCCGGGCCTCAGCAAGTCCAGTGGACAGAAACCTTGTTCCCTTCAGTGCCGTGTAACAGCTTTCCTGGCAATCTCAAATGTTCTGTCATGTTTGGAACATGAAGTGCAAGTTGAAGTACTGCTTGGGTCTGGATCATCCCTCAAAGTAATTCCCTTTGTTTTTCTTTTTTCCACAGCCTGGAATCATTTGAGAAGACAAGTCTGTCCCCTGTCGCCAAGAAGCACCAGCTGAGTCCTACAGACCCTGACAGACCTGAGGGCAATGTTCAAATGAAGGTTTTCTTGGTGCTTATGTGTCCATTTGCGAACTCTTTGGCCCTCGCTGGAAATGCCAATTTTGCTTTCTTTGTGTTTAGAGTTTTTTCAAAACAATACGTGTCAGTTCAGATGTGTGTGTGTCCTTTGGTCAAACAAAGCCATTCCCAAGAGTCTACACTGCAGGACAAATAACAGTGTGAGAAGATGCTATGCAGATCTGTATATTGCAACATTGTTTCATATTTGGGAAAATTAAACTGGGGAAGGATTAGAGAGTGGTGCATTAAGTGTAAAATTTGAAAGTATGTTTCAGAGATAGAAATAGTGCTACATGCAAAAGCAGATTACAAGTGTATGTTTACAGAGTTAGAATAACAAGTAAAAGAAGTAAAACCCCAAATGACCAACGTTCAAGATCAGGACTAAATCTACACGGAAATATATCGAAATGCCCATTATGGTTGAGTTGATCATAAACGACCCTTAGTCCTACTTTTCTGTATTTTTGAACTTTTCTTTATTGAATCTGCTACTCTAAATACTTTTAAAAAACTCATATTTTTACTATTCTATTTTTTCCACCTTAAAAGGCATTTGCTCTTTCTACATGTGTTCTAATACTGAATATCTAAAATGTGCACTGACACTTCAAACAACTTTCCATGAAGCAAACAGTGACACAGATGAGCCCCAAAGATATGCTCATCTACAACCTAAACGCCCAGTGTGACTTCTCTAGAGTAGAAGAGGAGGCCTTGAGACAAGTGAGCAGTTGACTGTGGTGCAGACGATGGCCAGGAGAAACCGTGGCAGGTCAGTTTATCTTTAAAAACTTAAAAAGTCCAGTATTTCTCAACTTCACCCTCGTGCAGCCCGTGACTCCCCTGGGCAGCTGGCGTACCTTCCGTCCTCCCTTCCTGTGGGGCCTGGTACAGGAGCTCGCATGGCTGCTCTGTGGGGCTGTGTCTCCATGGCAGACTCAGTGGCCTCACCTTCCTGCCTCTTGTCCATGGCTCCCCTACATGGACCATCCACACCACTGGTGCCAAAGCCGGGCGCCAGCTGGGTTGGGAAATGCCTCTGTCCTCCCTCCTGCTGGGCCATCAGCCTCCCTGGATGGAAGCCGCCCTGCCCTTGGCTTTTACTCAAGGGCACATGGATGAAAGCGAGCCGTGTGGTGTGGTGTGTGTGCCACATGACCCCTGCCCTGGCCCCGGAGCACAGGCCACCTACAGGTCATGCTAGTGGCCTGATTTAGCCAGAATGAAACTGTCCCCAAAAGATGGATGAGTGTCCTGGCTTGAGAATTTCAACTCAGAAGCCAAGAATGAAGCGAGCTAAGCTTCCTTCGCTTCCTGGAAGATGGTGAGAGGATGAGGAAGGAGGCAGACAGCGGGCGACTCAGTAATGGTGTCCACTGGGAAGGACCATGCACGACCTTCTGTCCTGGCCTTTGTCCACGGTGCACGGTAACTTCTGCTTTAGAATCCTGTAGTGCCTCTTCTTTAGGCCCTGTGGCCATGTCCATAAACCCCACTGCTAAGTGTGACCCCTCCGAGATGCTGTGCTGGAAGTTCCCCAGGCAGACGTGCTTCCGCCCAGCTCACAGCGCTTCACTGCACTTCCTCTAACACTCCATCTTCCAAAGGGCTTCACCGTGACATCTGGAGGACCAGCTCAGCTGCGTGATGGATGCGTTGCCCTGAGAGTGACCTTGACCTTGACCTTCCCCTCTGATAGCTCCAGGATCTCTTCTATAGGCCACACGTTCATCGTGGGCAGCGCCCTCTTCCTAAGCTTCTCCCGAGACCCCCCGCCCTCTTGCTCAGACTCCTGCAGGTCGGCCCTCCAGTTCACCACACATTTGGACCGTCCAAACCTCTTAGCGATTCCGCCGTCAGCTGACGGACTCCACCAGAGAACTGGAAACGTAGTCCAGTAACAGGCAGGGCCAAGGGCAGGGTGACAACTCTGTCATCACTGAGCTTGTGACAAGAGTTCTGCATTTGCAGCTAGGCTCGTGGCACAAATCTGACTACCAAAGCTAATGCTCACGGATGTCTGCGACTGATCCCAAACCCTTAACCGACCACGAAGACATGTGCAGGCCTTCAGATACAGCGACGAAAGACTAGAAAAGGGTTTAAATGTTGATAGTTAACGATTATCCCCTGGCAATAGGGCTTGAGTTATAGTTGTTTTCTTTCAATGGCTCAAAGTTTTCAAAACGTCCCTTGAAAATGTGTTACTTGAATCATTAGAAAAAAGAAATGTCCTTCAAAAGCACATATCCTAATGCTTTCTGTAAAATCTGTTTAACCAATTTAAAATAGGAGAAGCAGAAACAGGAAAACACAGCTGCTTTCCCACCCTGATCCATGTTCATTTTACTCAGGAGGCGGAGGCAGGAGGATCGAGAGTTGGAGGCCAGACCCGGCAAAGTTACCAAGATCCTGTCTTAAAATAAGTCTGGGTGCCATAGCTCATGTCTATAATCCCAGCTACTCAGGAGGCAGAGATCAGGAGGATCCTGGTTCAAAGCCAGCCTGGGCAAAAATAGGGCTTCACAAAAATAGGGCTGGTGGAGTGGCTCAAATGGTAAAGTGCCTGCCTAGCAAGCATGAGGTCTTGAATGAAAACCCCAGTGCCACCAGAATAATAATAATAATAATAATAAAAACTAGCAAACAAAAAAATCCAGGGTGTGGATTTAAGTTGCTGGGTTTGAACCACACTGTCACAAAAATAAGTAAATTAATAAATAAAGTTCTCTTTCCACTACACTTGTGAGAGTGTTGCAGCCGATCCTGATTGAGAAGTTTCTATTTCGTGTATTTCTGACCATCTGTGTGTCATTTATCTCCTGTCCTCGCTTCCGTGTCCCTGTTAAGCTCTTCAATTGAACTTTCAACCTTCTTTTCTGAACAGAAGCACTTGGGACTCTGGTTTCTTTCAGTACAACTTTGGGTACGTCATATAAATCTTGAAATCCATGTTTTTCTTATTACTCAATTATAAATGCTCTGTTGTTTTCTTTGTGATTTATTTTTTGATTCATGAGTCTTTACATGCTTTAAAAATCTCCCAATACTTGAGATTTCTGAAACGCTTCTTACTGACTTCTGACTGCGTCGTGTTTGTAGGTGGTCCACATGGTTCCGACACGTGGTTCAGATTTGTGTTCTTTTTTTATTATATTATTGTACTGGGGGACATTGTGACATTTACAAAGTTCAGCTATGCATCATAGTTGAATTGACCCTTAAGATTTGTTTTATGAGTAATTTTTGTGATTTTCTATGTACTTTAAAGTACGTGTTTTCCGAGTGTGAAATGGGGCCTGTTCTGAGGTGGAACGGGGTTAGGTGGGGACAGAAAGAGAAGGTGAGGGGCTGAACATGGTTGAAGTATGAAAATATAATATTGAGACCTGTTAAAAATTGCTTTAAAAGGAGAGGAGAAGGGGGTTAATTTGGTCACCATGTATGATATGCATATGGAAATACCTCAATGCAACTCTCTTGTACAATTAATATGCATTAATTTTAAAAGAGAAGAAGATGACTGTGGGAAATTTTAAAAATGGAAAGGGAGACATTACAACTAATACCACAAAAAATACTAAGGTCCTCTGGGAACTGTTATGAACGAAATGCCAAAAACTTGAAACACCCAGAAGAAATGATACATTTCTGGGCACATTTAACCTACCGAAATGGAACCAGGAAAACAGAGAAACCCCAAACAGTAAGCAGGATTGACTCAGAAATAAAGAAAAGAAAAGAAAGGCCAGGGCCAGAGGGCGTCATGGCTGAACTCCAAACTTTTAAAGGGGAACTCGTGCTGGTGCTTCCCAAAGGATTCCGAAAAGTGAGAAAAGAGCTCCTCCAAACTCCCTGACAAAAATAAAAAATAAGCCAGAGGAGGACACAATCGAAAAAGACAGCTACAGACAGATGCCCTGAGGAACACAGTTGCAAAAGTCTCAGCCAAGCACTGGAAGCTGAATCCAAAGCTCATCAAACAGGCCATGATCAAGTGAGACTCAGCCCAGGGGTCAATCAACAAACGTAAGACATCACATCGTCAGAAGGAAGGACAAAGCCATATGATCATCTCAAGACTCAAATGACTGCATTGTAACCCAGACACGTGGCAGCTGTGCGTCAACTTAAAAACAATAATTGAATTAAACAGTTACAAGGCAAACACGTGTGTGCTATCTTGGAGTGTCGGTGCAAGGTCACAGATGTGCCTAGGAGCTTTGGTTTCATCGTCCAGCTCCTCAGTATCTTCTCTTTGGGGCCATTCGCCTGACTTAGGGCTGACGTGAGGGCTAATGACCAGTGCACGTGTGCAATTTGTACACTCGCCTTGAAACACTCGTCTTGGAAAGCAGGACGTGGAACAGGACATGATTCACGTGTGGCCAGATCGCTGAGGCTCAAGCAAGGTGACCTCGGTCATGCTTACTTACACCGTCTGTGCACGGTTTCTGACTGAAGCAGGGCTGTGGTGAGCGTGAGGTGAGTGAGTGCAGCTCTTGGGGCTGGAGGGACTTAATCAGCGCCTAGAGACCTGGAAACGCCACACAGACCACACAAGGGGAAGGGAAGAAAGGTCACAGCCATGGGGACAGCACAGCGTCAGAAGGTGGGAGAGACAGGGGAAGCTAAGAGGCGGGCCTTACCAGACTCAGCAGAGTGCACAGGAAGACCTCACTTCCTGTCTCTTTTGTTGCAGGCTTGGCAGTCACCACACTCAGCTCCTGAAACCCCAGCCTGGGGCCTGTCCACTTCCATCCCACTGGGAAGGCCCTCACAGGGCAGTTCAGGGTTACTATGACAGAAACCACCATGACTTTTATTCAGAAAGACTCTGCCAGGTCTGCTGCCTGCTGTGTGAGGCTGGAGAGAAGATTTCAGTCTTAGGAGAACTGAGATGTCTGCCAGGAAACTCCAGCCAGGAGTCAGGCCTGAGCACCTGTGTCCCTGGGCAGGCAGTAGGGGTGCACAAACCCAGCCACTGACACCTTTGTTTTAGAGAGATTTTATTTTAGGATCCAGGGCCTGGCTACCCCAGTCAGAAATAACACTGGGCCTGACCAGGGGACTTTGCCAACTCAAATGAGATGCGTTTCAGGGCTAAATGAGTACACACGCACACACTTCTCATTTCACTCCTGCCTAAAATCAGATGAGATTTATTTTAGAAGTTGTTTTAAACTCATAAAAGCACAAACACAGAGATTAGGAGAGTCGGCTACTGCAGTGAGATACTGGAAGTTGCCAGGCTGCTGATGAGGGGTCACTGACAAAACAAGCTCCACAGAGACAGGGTAACCTGAGCTGGAGGAGGCAGGGGGACAGGGAAGGCAGCCAGCCTTACACCTGAGTGTCGTCAGACTGCCAGGTCCGTAGCATCACATCCCTCTGCATCCGGGCATCAGGGATGACCGTTGTCACAGGAAGGGCACTGGGAGCCCTGGTTCCTTTCCCCTTTCTGAGACACTGGGAAGTGGCAGACGACATCTGAGAGTAGCCTAGAGGGTCTCAGGAGACTGGAGTCACCCAAATCAAAGAGATCAAGTGACAGGCCATCCTGACTTCTGGATACCGAGCCTGTCCTCCCCAGCTTCCTGGCCCTCTCAGGTCCCAGGATGGTGGCACCAAGCCAGAATGGCAGCCGCCGATGCAGACTCCCTAGGGAATCTGGCCAGCATGAGCGCAAACCTGACTTCTGGAGAAAGACCCTTGATCACCCAGCCTACCTTCTCCCAGGACCTTCCTCTGACCGAAGCAAACGTAAAGTTGCCCACTCTCCACAAATATCCCGCAAAAGTAAATAATAGGTTTTTTTAGGGCTAGTGACACAGGGTAAAATGACACAGAAGAACAGAAGCTTCCTTTGCAGAGGATGTGCTGTTTGCCAAGGTAGACCCCCCATGTCGCATGGCTGAGCCTGGCTCCTTAACAATTGCTCAGAATTCTAGGCAGGTCTTGTTGGAACCGTCTTAAGTGATCCTAGCTCACAGAAAACCTCAAGGAGAGCGGCCCCGGAGCCGGCATCAATTCCATGTCCTGGGACCTTTCTCACATTTCCTGAATTTGTGCGCAAAAGCTGCCTCACCTGGATCTCACCCTGCATATCCCTCTACCTGTCCTCAGACGATTAGCACCTTTAAGAGGCCTGGTTGTGAGGCTGGGTGTAGTGATGCACCCCTGCAATCTCAGCACTTAAGAAGTGGAGGCAGGAGGAGTTCAAGGATAGCCTGGGCTTCAGATGGAGACCCTGTTTCAAAAAACAAAACGCAAACAAAAAAATCCTGGTTGTGGTGGAGTAGAGCCCCTCAGTAGTTATACTAACATACTGTGCTCCTAACAGGTTGAAGGAAACCCGTCAGCATCTACAGACAAGGGCCTGCCAGCATCTCAGCACAGTTGCAGACTTCCTCCTCCTCCCTTTAGTTCCGGATCTCTACTTCCAGAACCCTGTGCCTAGGAAGGTAGAAGGGGGGCACTCCTGGTATGTGGAGTTTGACCCAGGAGCTCTGGCTCCCCTTTAACCAGACATACAACCCTGCCATTGGATGCCATTGAGCTCTCTTGACCTCAGAGCATCCAGACACAGCTATTCCTGGAGGACCCAGGAGCTCCCCCAGGGAGATGGTGGGGGACAAGGCTCACAAACTGGGCCACGGTGCAATCCGAAGCAAGTCAGAGCTGCCCTCCTGCGGGGTCTTTCTGCTCCTCTGAGCTGGAAATGAGGCTTCTAGAAGTTTCTTGGTGTTCTTAGACATGAAACTGCAAGGATCATTTCCTCTGCCATTTAGCTCTGGGCTTCTCCTTTCATCTACTCTGGAATCTTTTTTTTTTTTTTTTTTGGGCATTACTGGGCTTTGAACTCAGGGCCTCTGCACTTGCTAGGCAGATGCACTAATGC